TCAGATGCATCTAGAACTAGCAGTCTGCAAATGCCAACTGCATCGAGGCGGATCCGGTTTTCCAGGAGGAAAGTGGCCACGGTGTTTTTAGGGGCTTCCCATCTGCCTACCTCCCTCCTGGGCTCGTTTCTGAGCACGTTTGTTACTGCTGGTCTGCCTTGGTTTAAAACCAGGGCCAATGTCTTGTTGCTCCCTGCATGATGCTGAATCTCAACCAACACTGGATTTTTTTTAATGCTAACTATTGGAGAGAAGCTCGACATTAACTGTACAGCTGACCAACTGTAGCATCCCTTGAATCCCAGTTAACACGAGGTCTGCCAGAGCTGTTAACACCACAACAGTTGTTCTGAAGCTTTAAAAAGAGGTTTGCCCTATGCACATATTTAAAGCAAATCAGATAACTCTTCATGGAAGCGTTTAAATGAAATGGAACCCCCCCAACACAACAGGCTCCATTGCCTTGAAGTGAAAATTTTCTTTTAGTGCATCTGAAATTTATTGGAAGTTAATGCAATATTTGTAGATGTAACTAAAGTGTAATAAATCGATCAGGTAAGTACAAAAATATAATTTTCCCTTTTCTTCCTTTCCACAGGCGTCTGATCACAGATTCGAAGGTTAAATTAAAGTACCAGCATTTAATAACCAATAGTTTTGTAGAGGTGAGTATGTATTTGAAATTTTTAATAGCTTCCAGGGTTTTTCTTACGCAGGCACCAAACCAGAGAAGTGAGGCTTGTTTATGACTTTAGAGCAAATTGTCTCTTGCATAGTCTATAATCAAATGTAACTACGAGTTAGAGGCTTTGCAGGGGATGCTTTGAAGCCCATTTATTATTTGTGTAGCTGTAGGGAAACATTTAGAAAGAAAAAATGCAGAGCACTTGGGGACCTGTTATGTTTCTGGAAGCAAAAGAAAGGGTGAGATTGCTTAGAGAGATGGGAAACAGTGGGAGATCGCAGTGGAGGAGATGCTCGAGATGTGGCTTCTGAGTAACACTTAATACTTGCAGTCCTTGCGTGAATGTTACCTGGGATGCTTCACACTCAAACAGGGAAACATTAGAACTAAGATTATGCCTTAAATGTTTGCCTTGTGAGGCAAAACTGTAAAATTGGTTTTACCAAAATACCAATAGCTTTGGGACTTCAAAATACAAGTGAACTTAGAAGGTGCTTTGGAAGGTTGTCCACTGTCCCGATTTCCCTCTTGTGCCCATTTAGATTCACCATAGAACCTTGTAGGTAGGTTGTTGCTGGAATCAAATCTCCCCCCAAAAAAGGTTTGGAGTGAAACATGGGAGATGAACACTTCTTGCAGACCAAAGGGCGGACACAAGTCCAGCAATTCAGAGCTGTTTGTGGTCATGGTAAGAGATGAGGAGGCAGTGAAATGCCCTTCAAGGGGTCTGAGAAAACTGCTTTTAAAAGCTAGTTACTAGGCACACTTGCAGGTGGTGTTTCAGAGAGGCCCTGGCCGTGGTGGAGCAGACGTAGCTGTTGAAGTCATATGCAACTAGCTACTTCTTTTCAATGGGAGGCTTTGTAGCTTCATCTTACTCCAGTATGTTCTCCCTGGGTGAGCTACAAGGTCCTCAGAAGTGTTCATGCTCCTCTTCATTCCCCGAGGAGACCGTTTGACACTGAAGAGTTGACTACGTTGTTCCTGCTTTTTTGAAGTAATACAAAAGTGAACGCTTAGATTAAGGAGAGAGCACTCTGTCTCCTTAAGTTTTATTGAAGATTCTGGTTAAAAGGATGCAAGAGTGAAGGGCAAACTACTTGTGCAGCATCTTCTGCTATTGTGGTTTCTCTTGCTTTGTTTCCTAGTGTAATCGACTGTTAAAATGGTGTCCTGCCCCAGACTGCCACCACGTCGTGAAAGTCCAATATCCTGATGCTAAGCCCGTTCGCTGCAAATGTGGACGTCAGTTTTGGTAAGAGCAGTCAAGTAAAACAACCTGGGGCTGCTTTTCACTTATTGCTTTGAATATGCGTAAGTGTGTGTCTTATAAGTCAATACTGGAGTGTTGCTTTTGAGGGTGGGGAAAGCATGAGGAGGTGGAGGCCTTTGCAAGAAGGTAATAAATGTGTTGAGTCCTTCAGCTGCACACACTCCCCTGCCTCCCTAAATGTGTAGAAGGAGCGTTTTGCATGTGGTGTCGCCCCCAGTGGAACGGGTTAGAAATGAGGAGAAAGCTCCTGGGGTTACTTTTGTCAGCTGCCAAGTTGTCCTGAAGAACTGTGTGAGCAGCTTTTCAACGAACAGCACCCGTGCAGCACACTGCCCTTCACTGCTGCGTTGTCTTGAGTGTTTTATCAACCATGTGTGAAATAATATCTAGGCTTGGAAAATGTATTTATAAATACTGGCATTTCATTGAAAATGGGAAGCTGGCGTTGGGAGCAGCTGGCTGCGAAGGCCATCGCTGTGTAGCTGTTGCCTTCTCCGTGTGTCGTGGCCTCCCCTGACACAAGGGCAGGGCCTGGCTTTTGCTGAGCCCGTAGCCAAATCAATGGCTTCAGATTAGCTTCCTGACACACTTCTTGACTCCTTGAAGACACTGTAGAGAACTGAAGTGTGTTTAGGTGTATTGTTGGGAATGACCACACACTTGCAGTGGAACCCAAAAGGAAGCTTCCATGTTGTTAACTTAGTCATCTACCTCACTAATTTCTCTTTTCTTTGGCTTACAGCTTTAATTGTGGTGAAAATTGGCATGATCCTGTTAAGTGTAAGGTGAGCACGTCTAAGTTCTTATCTAAATACGTGGCTTCTCAAAGTGTGAAGTCAAGCTGTGTACCTAGCAATGTGGCACAGGCTGCTTGCATCAAGGAGGACCATGGTTCACCTCCAAAGAAGAATCTTGCGGCTTCAGGAACGTAGAGTGTTGCAATAACCACGGCGGTTCTGGAGGTGTTTGGTGCTTCAGCAGCTTGATTTTAGTGCTGAAGCAATGACTTTGGGCCTGGTTCTAGGACTTGCTGCTCTGCAGTGATTTCTGGAACTGGATTCTGGATTTCTCTTTTTCCATGGAAGTGTCCGAGGCTGTGACCAAGGCTGGAATGCAGAGCCCCCGGCTGTCTTGCTCTGTGCCTTGGGGACAGAGCAGTCTGCATTCCTGGCGACAAAGGCAGAAAACCTCCCTCGGGCAGGGGAGCCTCCGCAGAGGGCTTGGGTGGCTGTGCTGGGGTTTCCGTGGCAGATGTGGCTGGGTTAGTATCCAGCAGCTGCAGCAGCCCTTTGCTTTTGCAGCTTGCGTCCATTTGATGTTGCCATGTTCACTCGAGAGAGGAAAAAAAAACCCTCTGAGGTGGAAAGTGTGGGCCTGAGTGGCATTTTCAAATAGTCTTGGTGCATCTCAAAAGGCTCGAGTCTGAGAATGCGCTATATAAAGGGGCTGAGTTTTCCTGAGATTTAGATTAATGGAAACTTTTCTTATTGGTGCATTTCTGCCAACCTCCCATTCCTGTGCTGTGGTTAGAAGTCTTATGAAATAGTTTAATCAATTCTTCCTGTTTAGCCTCTCCTTAGAAGAGCATTTTTTTTCTTTCCTCTTTTCTTCTCTTTTTGGGTTAACAGTTTCGCCATTTAAAAAGTGAATATAGTTGCCACCTTGATTATCTGAAGGTGAAAATGCTCTGCATGAGGCTTATGTGCAGCAAGTGAGACTAACTGAAGCCCACATGTTCCTGTATTTAAAGTAACTTAGTAACTTTTTTTTTCTAATAGTGGTTAAAGAAATGGATTAAGAAGTGTGATGATGACAGTGAAACTTCTAATTGGATTGCAGCAAACACAAAGGTGAGTGTTTTCCTTCTATTTTATATAGACTATCCTATGAGAAGGATGGCAGCCTAATTCCTTGGCACTAAGATCTTGTATTTTGCATGTCACTAGCTAACAGTGAGTATAAAAATGTGCAGCAGGCTGAAGCGCTCTTGTTTTAAGTGCAAAGAGCTGCTGCTGCCTAGAGTCAGGTAGGGCTCTTCCTTGCTCTGCTAAGAAAGAGTCAGTCAGAGACCCAAAGGAAGCTCCAGCCTTGGAACCTCCTGCCTGGTGCTGATGACTTTGCTGAGCAAATTGGCACTTGACTCCGAGTGTGTGAAACACGTTAGCACCCCCCGCGGCCTGGTTTGGCCGCCATCATCTACATCTGCCTTCAAATCCCCTGGGTTGGCCTTTTTCGGAGGCGCTGGTTTCCGCTGGGCGGGCGTCCAGACCCAGCCTGGCAGAGCAGCTGCCAAGACTTTCTTATGTAAATGGCCCTGGCCGCAGCTAGCGCAACCTCATGGGAGACCTGCTCCGTTTGGGAAGGGTGCGCGGCATCAAGGAAGCCAAGGGAGCAGATGCCGCAGGCAGGGAGGGCTCCGCGGGCCCCCGGCCGCCAAGCGGAGCCGGGGGGCAGGAGGAAGTGGCCGCTCGGTTTCGGCCGCCCCGTTGTGTAACCTTAACGGCGCAGTTCGCTGCCGCTCGCCGGGGCTGCGATGGGTGTGCGTCGAGCTGGAGCATGGCGCGATGGAGGAGGGCAGCAACACGCACCGCGCTGCAAGGCCAGGATGAAGCACTGTCCTCTCCGCGCTTCTGTGGCCCATGGCTGGTGCGGCCGCTGCTTGGAGACTCAGTAAAATTAACTTGGCTTTTTCTGAGTTCGAGGGGTGTTTGGAGCTCAAGAACAGGACTACATTTGTCCACAGTTCCTTGGTCTTCAGCTACTGCCTGTAGTAAACCCGAGGAAGAGGAGCTGGCTGGTTTGGCAAGGCTGGGGGTAAACATGTGCAAAGAGGCTTCTGGCCTACGGTGCCAAATACTTGTGGCATCGGAATTGCCACCTCCCTGCCAGTGCCGCTGCCCCTGCCAGTGCTGCTGCCCTCGGCAGCCCCTGCGACTCCCCCGGGTGCTGGTGATGGCTTTGGGGCTCTCTGTCTCCCCTTTGCCCCGCGCTGGCGTGTGCCAATGCAGAGCAGGGCCTGAGCGCCTGACCTGGCCATGCACGGGTTGGTTTGGGCCATGCGGGCTAGCTGGGTTTGACCTGGTTAGATGCTAAGCTCTTCCTTGCTGGGTTTTGTGCTTGCTAAAAGGATGCCCCCGTGTGTGTTGCCGCAGCTCCGGTGCGGGTGCCGCTGTCGCTGCCTGGAAGTGCTGGGCAACGTCCCTTTTCCAACCAGGAGCTGGGCCCTTCGACCCTCGCTTGCCCGAAGCGTTAAGCGCGGCCCGAGCTGCTGTTGTGCAGATGCTCACCCTGCTTTTAGCCAGGGTCCAGAATTCCTCAGCTAGGAGCCCGGTGCTGCTCCAAGCGCAGGCATTGAGCAGCGGGAGCGGGAAGGTTTGTGGGAAGCAGCTGTGCAGGGGATGCCGAGGCGGGAGGCGTGCGCTCGCTGTGGGGGCCTCGGCCCCTCTCTGCATTCCCGCCGTCCTGCGGGAGCGAGAGCCCTTGTCCCCTGCCCCGCCCCCCGCCACTAGCGCGGGGTGAGGCGCTTCTCTGGCAAGAAAACGCTTGGGAACCCACGATGCACAAAAGCAGCAGGTGGAAAAAGGAAAACGGGGTAATTACAGCAGACATTTGAGCAAGGCGGCTGTCGTGGGGCCTTACAGTCACCGTATCAATTGACTTAACTAAAGCACAATATTGTTGCTGTTCTCGGAGCCGCTGCTAGATGTAGTGGAGGGGAAAGCTGGCAGGAAATGTAACCCACCGCTCTGCTGCTCCCTGCCTCCGTGGCAGCGAGGATGGTAATTTCACCCCGCTGTAACGATGCAGCGCGCGGTGCTGGTTGTTGGAACACGTGTAATCGGAGGAGCGCAGCGGCCCCGCGCCGCGGGCTGCTGCCATCACCTCTTCTTGCCTGGACTGGCCGCTGGCCAAACGCGCCGCGACGTCCAAGCGCCCGTCTGACAGTGACACAGCTCGACTGCTGCTCGGAAGGGAACCAGATATCCGTGCAGCTCGGGGCATGGGGAAATACCCCTTCCTGCTGTCGCGTGGGGCTGTAGCAACGCACCGTGTGCCCAGGCCATGCACAGTCGAGGGGCCGGCACCTCTGTCCTTCATTGCTCCGTCTCCCCGCGCTGCGTCCATGAGGAAGGCGGCTTGGGGTGTTTGGGATGGGCAGGGTTTTGCCTCTGTCACTGTTAGCTTCAGTGCTTGGAAGTCGGAGCCCTAACACTGCGTTTGGCTGACGTGAAAGCACCTAGAAGAGGCTGCAAATCCCCGTTTGCAGAGGAAAAACCCTCTTTTCCAGGTAATTCCCTTGTCACCACTGCCACGTTTCTGTTGCTGCTGCTGCTCCTGGCACGTTGTAGCTTCTGCAAAGCCCTTTCTCCAGGCCCGCACGTGACACCGAGCTGCAGCCTTGTCCCCTGGGGCCTGTGTCCGGGGCAGAAAACTTCCTCTCTCGCCAGCATCAAGACTTCAGCGAGAACGACCGCTCTCCTGGGCTGTGTGCTTGGTCGTCCCCCGCAGCAGGCGCCTGCGGGGAGCTTCTGTTGTCACTCGCTCGGTGACAGAGCAGCCAAGGGAAGGCGGGCGGTGGCTGTATGAGAGACTAGAAGAAGGAAACGCAGCTCAGCTTCTGCTCACAGCCTGGAGTGGCGTGATAGGTATTTTTGTTGAATTATATAGAGCAGACTGAATGAAATACGATGAGGTTTGAGTATTGACTTTGTGGTCACCGGTGTATTAAATGTATATATAATTTCAGGTTTATTTACTTGCGCTTGGGAAATCCCTGGGTTAGGTTTTATTTTGCTTGCTTGCTTTCTCGGCGTGTTGTGCATCCCTGATTTGAAACTTGATCCTGTCTTTAGATAAACTGGACCGGTTTCTGGTGGGGAATAAAGAAACCCCAACACCCCGGTCACCTCTGTGGACTTTAACCGGGTTGGCGTGGTGGCACCCAAGCCCTCTGAACCAGAAAAGTGGGAGGTCTGCGTTTATTTTGAGTTTGCTTAAGGTGTGCTAGGGCTGCCAGAAAGGAGCCTAAAAGGAGAGGAAGATGAAAATAATGGTTTCAAGCCTGAGTTTCAGTGATAGTGATCTTTCTGCATCTTTTGAGTTCTAAAAGAAAGGAGAAGGAGGTTTTTGGATCTCCCCTGTGCCCACCTTCACCCCAGGCAGTGGTTTTTGTTGAAGTTAATTGCTGTTAATGCAAGTTGCTTATCTGGTACTAGAAATGCCTCCACTTTACTGCAGGAATTAACTGCAGGTCAGGGCTGGATCCGGGAACGGTCCTTTCCCAGGATACGGAAGCGCTGCCTTTCCTTCCAGCTGCTTAAAATACCCCGTTGTGCTCCGCAACTCCCGGCGCTGCCCCTGCTCGCAGCACCTGCAGCGCTTTGGGATCCGCTCGGAGCGCGGCCGCGTTCCCGGCGCTGCCTGAGGATTCCCCTTCCCGGGCCGGCGCCGCTGTGCGCGCTCTGCCCTGCCTCAACCCCAAAACCTTCCTGCTTCGTCCTGCTCCTCGCAGGACAACGGCTGAGGCTCCAGGCGCTTTGTGCACGCGGCTGTTCACGCGACACAAAGGATTTGTTCCCTTTGGCCAGGTTTGCCGGGGCCTTTGTTGGCAGTGCAGTGTGTGAGCACAGCAGTGATGTATTTACAGCGTCCGCACGGTCGTTCCTGCATTGGGGCTGGTAGATAACGTACAGAATAACCCACTCATTCAGTGATTTAATTTGCTGGCTGTGAGGTTGTTTGCGTGGTCGTAATTCTCAATAAAATCTTTCTTCCCTGTCCTCCTTAACCTATAAATCCCTCCTAGTTATTACATTAGTGGTTTGAATGGTTGCTGCTTTTTCCTCGTTGGCGTTCAGCGTTTCTTCAGGACGTTCTGCGCGTGGCTTTGCTCAGTCGTCAGCGATACGTACGTGTGTTCACACGGCTGGATGGATGCGGGTAGCGCAGGGAGCAGCCTTGTGCGTTGCTTGGTGAAGTGTAGACGCTGCACGAGAACAGCCTTGCCTTCACCGCACGGGCTGCAGTTAGGGCCTTTTTATTACAATTGCAATCCCAGTGCTTTGTGCACAGTGTTTAGGCACTGAAAAGCTTAGTTGTTGTCCTTAAAGATGTGAAGGAAGAATTTCAGTCTTGGAACTGAAATGTCAGAAATAGAATTTCAGCATTTCCCATCTTGGAAAAGCCCTCGGTGACGCTGCAGCCCCGGATCGGCGTGCGAGTGGCGGGAGAGCCGCGGCAGAGCGCGCGGGCGCTGCCGTGACCGTCCTGCGTGGAAAAGGCACCTCGGTGCGGAGCTGGGGGCTGCCCGCACGGCTGGGAAGGGTTTTGCAGGGATGAATCCCGGTGTTTGTGTGCGGCATCGGGAGAGAGAGGAGGGCTGCGTGGGCACGGAGAGCAGTCCTTGCTCTGCATTGGAGGGAGAGACCATTTTTATCTCCGAGATAGCTCCAAAAAGTACCCTTGTTTGGCACCGACCTCCCCCAGCTGGATAACCTGCCCTGCAGAGGAGCCAGCAGGATGTCTCCACGGTGTCTGTGACCGCTGGTGTCTCCTGGAGGGGCCTTCGAGGGAGCTCCTCTACTTTGTTTGCTGCACCTGCAGGTTGGACACACGCTGTGGGATGGGGAGCAGAGCAGAGTGGACTGGGTCCAGCCTCCTGCCTGCTCACTTGGAACCTCATGAGAGGAATCAACCCCTGGAGCAGAAGGGACAACTGGGAGCGTCCCAGCAAGCGTGGGGACGCGAGGACAGGGGTGGCCGCAGACACGTTCACGTGAGCTCCTCGGGGGCCATGGGTGGGTGCTGGACGCTGACACAGGGCTTCGTGCTCTCGGTTTCTTCTCTGCGAAGTGAAAGGTCAGGGCTTGCTCCACGCTGGAGGTGCAGTATTTCATGCTCTTCTGGCCCGAGAGCTGCGGCTGCCTTTCCAAGGGAGGATTGCTGAGCCCTACCACTTCTTTGGCTTGCGTTGAGTATTGCCTGGCAGATAAAACCTTCGTTTTTGCAGAAATGTGACTTTTTTAAGCAGTGGTGACCTTTGGAAGGTGCTCTCCTTGTCCCTTCCTTGTGTTGGTGCAAGTCCCGGGGCAGCTGTGTGCTGAGCTGGGTTAAAATACCCTTGATGTTCTTGGTGCCGGGGTTGTTGGCACAGAGGAGTGCCCGGGGGCTCCTGTGGAAGAGTCTCCAGTGAGGTGGCATGAGGAGGGGATGCCCCGGCAGGAGCAGGGGTGTCCGAGTGGACAGGAGCCTCTCTGCAGCACGCTGAGCTTCAGCTGTGAGGTTGCAGCTGCTTTTTGGGTGGCCTCGTTACAGCTGCAGATGTTTCAGGTTGCTAACAGCATGGTAGCAGCACACAGTTAGGCCTGTTGAAGTTGGTGCTGAAATGGGCCAAATACTAGTCTGCGAAGAAAGCCAGATGCCTTCCCCTGGGCAATTATGGATCATCGGTACAGCTGTAGTTTTGGAAAGGGTCATAAAATTGCTCATCCAGTCTCCCTCCACCAAAGTATGGTGGCTACATACGTAAACTGAGTTATTTCTGTGGGATTTTTTGGTGTTGGTTTTGCTGTTCTGCTGGTCTGAGCTGGAAGGTCTGAGCTGGAAGAGGATCTTGATGATCAAAGAGACAAGGGATGTGATGCCTTTTGCTTGGCGCGCCGTTCCTCACTGCTGTGGCCCCCTTCCGCGTTCACGGGCGGTTAGGTGCCGCGCTCTTCCCTTTCTCCAAACGGTGCCTGGCTTTCCCTGCTAACGTTATCCATGCTCTGTTCCAGGAGTGCCCGAAATGCCACGTGACCATCGAGAAGGATGGGGGCTGCAACCACATGGTCTGTCGGAACCAGAACTGCAAAGCCGAGTTCTGCTGGGTGTGCCTGGGCCCCTGGGAGCCCCACGGATCTGCCTGGTGAGTAGTTGGGGGCTGCAGGACGAGGCAGTGCCACGGGCCCTGCGTCCCCTTGCGCTCAACCCTCTGCATTCGCTGTCCCCTGTGCAGGTACAACTGTAATCGCTACAATGAGGATGATGCAAAGGCAGCAAGGGATGCACAGGAGGTGAGTCCGCAACCTTTGGTGGGTGAGGGAGATCACGGATCCTGTGGCATTTTGAGCTTTCCATACACCTGTAAATGAGCCCTGGGGAATTTCCTGCCTTGGGCACAAATCCAAAAGGCAGTCAAGTGCACCAATGGCTTTGGACTCTTGCCTTGCGCCCAAGAAAATGTTCAAAGTCACTTTAATCCAATTTCAAGAACACATTAACTCGCTTGTTATCTGTCACGCTGCCTTGGTTGTTTTGTAACAGCTCATCACATGAAGTCGTCGTAATGCCATGGGTCTGAGGCAGCAGCCCCGACGTCCCGTATAAAATGCTCTTTACTGCACAGTTCTTGATGCTAATCCGGAGGTGCTTTTAAGCACAACATACCTTCTGAATATAAATTTAATAGACTTTGGTTGTTCCAATAACTGTTCTTGGAAGCCTGACAGGAGCAGAAAGTGTGGGTGAAGTGGCAGCTGCATTAACATGTTTAGTGAATGTGGACAGCGCAGGCAAAACCCTTGTAACGGGGAGGGCCGGCGTGCAGGGCGCTGCCGCTCGCAGAAACCCCTTCTCTGCCCCTTGGTGCAAGTGCTGCAACAGCCAAAACGCGGCGCGTTGCCAGCAACCCCCTCCAGTCCGAGGTGTGGCTCGCACTGGGAGTTTGTGTATCCAGGCTGGGCAAGCTCAACCATGCACACGGTGACGTTTTTTGGCTAATCTGTTAGGGAAAAGAAAATAGGATTAATGACTGTCTAGTGAGTCATCTTGGTTCTCCTGAACTCCTTAACACATGGCACCTTCCTCTGCTCTAGAGGCAGTGTGGCCTAGGCAGTCTAGGCTTGCCCTCTTAATAGAAGCACAATCATTTTTTGCTTATAATTCCTTTTTTGCTTAAAAAAAAAGTGCTGCTTTACTGCTTGTCACCACCCTGGAAGGTTTTTATGTCCTGTAATTGGAGACAGAAGGCTGAAAATAAAACCAGTGAGATATTAGTAGAGTGATCCTGCTTATTTTCAAGACCGGGAGTGAGCATGGAGTAGGAATTCCCCGTGTGGCAGGGGGGGAATCTGGTGTCCCCCACAGTGTCAGGGTTAAGAGCACTGTGCAGAGGGGAGTCATCTGGATCTCTCCAGCGTGAGAGGAGAGGAAACACAGCTGGAAAGGAAACTCCTCCTCGGGGCCAGGAAGAGCTGTGTGAAGGGTTTGCTTTTCTTGCAGGCATCATTCTGTTTTAACTGTTGTTTCTCTTTGAATTTTCTCCCCTCCTGGGAATGACCGCAGCGATCCAGAGCAGCCCTGCAGAGGTACCTGTTCTACTGCAACCGCTATATGAACCACATGCAGAGCCTGCGCTTCGAGCACAAGCTCTACGCTCAGGTGAAGCAGAAGATGGAGGAGATGCAGCAGCACAACATGTCGTGGATCGAGGTGCAGTTCCTGAAGAAAGCAGTCGACGTCCTCTGCCAGTGTCGTGCCACACTCATGTACACTTACGTCTTTGCCTTCTACCTCAAAAAGAATAATCAGTCCATTATCTTTGAGGTAGGAGAAAATGCGGTTTGCAGGACCCGTGACTGCAAAGTTTGCTGTGAAATAGGGATTGAATGCTGGGGGAGGCTGCTCGCCCGCGAGGCAGAAGGGAGAGGCCCTGCCAGGCCCTGTGCAGCTTTGTCTGCTGGAAAAGAGAAAGTAGAATCAAGTCTGGTGCATTGTGAAACCAAGAGATGGAAGGTTGATGGTTTGAACTAGTGAGGAGTGCGTGAAAGTGCAAATTTTTCTCTTTCCCTGGGTTTTGCCCCTTCCTCCCGCCCAGGGTTGGTAAAATAGTACCTGAAGGGCTAAGCATGGAAGTCCAAGCTGCTTTCCAGGTCAAATTGTACTGGCTGTTTTTGATTAAAACCCTCTGTGTAGAACCCAAGCCGAGGGCTCCTGTGCTGCCCGCTCAGCAAATGGTGCACACAGCCACGGAGCAGGAGTCAGACCTGCGCCCTGATGCTGCTGTGCATGCACCAGGAGCCAGTGAAGTCCTTGCTAGTGCTGGGAAAAATTAAATGGACAGAAAAAAGAATGGAAGACCAAATTGGCTTGTACCACACTCTGCAAAGAGTAAGATAAGGGTTGGTGGAGGCTACCATGCCTACACGAATGAAGAAATTGACTCTTTTTCAATTCTGATGCATAGAGCAGGCTACTTGAGTGAGTCAATGAGGCTTTAGTTCTCACTCTGTTTTTTATTTCAACGTTAACTTTCATTTGGATTAAAGAAGTCTCTTCCAAAAATGACAATAATACAAAACCTGGTGCTCTTTGTCTTTACAGAATAACCAAGCAGACTTAGAGAATGCTACAGAGGTGCTTTCTGGGTACCTTGAGCGAGATATATCCCAAGATTCGCTGCAAGACATAAAGCAGAAAGTACAGGATAAGTACAGGTTTGTT